TATAGGATTAGCACAGGATTCTAATCTTTGGTAGAAGCCAAATAAGTTTATTAAAACTGCTTGTAAAGTAAAAGGAAGCAGGTTACAAAAATGGTCCTAAGGAGTCCTCTATTGAGTAAGGACTTATGACTTTGGTATATGGACATGTAGTATATTTAAGCTGCCCCCTCAAAGATCTCTGTTCACATCTTGGTTCTTGGCTTAGTCAAAAAGAGGTCAGTTGACTGATAGTAAACATCTGGACTAGTGTTACCATATTCTTATTCCTTTTAAAGGAGACACATTACATGAACTCTAAAAATTACTTTCCCCATGTTCGAAGGGTTGCTAATTGCAAAAAACATATATGTATGGATATATACTTTCCTCCCCAACATGTAACAGCCATAAACATAATTTCTGTACCATGTAAGCAGCTCTTACCTTAATGGTTCATTCTTTTGGTGTATTAGCTGTTCATTTTGCTGCTTCAATTTAGAAATTTCCTTTTTTAGTCTTACATTTTCACTTTTCAAAATAAGAGCTTTTGTGCTTTGTACAATGCCACTGCCACCCCCACATGTGAGGGGTTTATTGGAAGGTTTAGAATCATTAACTTCTAGTACAACTGTGGGAGGCAAATAAAGGAAACATTACTAAATGCAATAAGTCATTCTAAAACCCAACACATCTCAACCACCATCTCCCCGGAAATCATCCTTGAATTCCTTCTTCTTTCTGACTTCCAATGCCTGTCCATCATGAATTCTAAATATCTCTAGAATTCTTCCCGCTGTTCTCCATCCACCAATTTTGCTACCATAATCCTGCTGAAGCCTTTCCCCATGACTGCACAGCAGCAACCCTCTCTAATTAGAGTTGTCCTCCGCTGATCTATCTCTTGCATCAGAGGAATCACCTGAAGGGATTCTTCCAACACAGAATGTGTGTGTGGGGCCCACCCCAGCCACTCAGTGCACTGTAAATACTCAACACATACTTGTTAACTAAACAAACCTTAGAATTATGTTAAAGCATATATTATCCTATAATCTACACTGTATGTATAAAAAAAGTGGTATGAGGAATTGTTTTGTAAATTTTAGGTAAAACTGCATAAAAATGTGAGTAGCTTAGAAGAGTCCACTAAATAATTAGAAATAATCACTGCTAATTATAAAGGGGTTAAAGTGTGAAGATACTCAATGTCCATTTTGTTTTGAATTATTTTGATTTCAGGCACAAGGTATACCTACAAATCACTTACTATTCAAGAACCATTATCCAGACCCTAATGTAACAACAAAGAGTCCTCGTTCTATTTTTACCCATTGAAGTTTCCCATGTAGGAGCTGCAATAGGCAGTAGGGACATTCAACTAAATTATGTTCTAGACAACATCTTTAACACTATCTCTAATTTCTTTTTTAAGTAAACAGACAATACACACAAATACCATCTTACATTTGCTTAACATTTAGAATATTCATTGTGCTTTCA